CTTTAGCTAACCCTGTAGCCTCCCCTCCCAGCACTGCCCCCACCTACCCTAAGCACAGCCCCAGCCCGGCCCCCACCCACAGGGAAGAAGTTGGCACAGTCCCTGGCCCCAAGCCAACAGTGGATAGGCTTCCTTGCACCTCTCCTCTGGGGATGTGCATAGTAACGAGGAGCCAGCCCTGCTCCCTGCCTCCCCCACACACCCAGGGTGGGGCAGGACGTGGGATGGAGCCGTGGGCAGCTTGTCCGGGGGGGCATGGGGAGAAGGGCAGCTCCCACTGCTGCATGTACCCCTGGGGGGAAGCATGGGGGGCATGTGCCCCCTGCATCTGTGCACAGGGCAAGGGTGGACTGCCTGCTGCAGGCTCAGGGCCAGGGCCAGGGGCTGCGCTGGCCTCTTCCCAGTGGGGGGCTAGGCCAGGGCTGCGCTCAGGGCCAGTGGGGGCAGCGTTGGGAGGGGGGGCTACATGGTGGGCTACAGCAACCCCAAAACATAACCCCCACCCCGTAGCTCCCCCACCCAGTGCTGTTGCTGCCTGCCTCAAGCACAGCTCTGGCCCAGCCCCCTCCCCTCCAGCCTGGAAGACACTGGCACTACCCCTGGACCTGAGCCGGCAAACCAACCTTGTCCTGTGCACAAATGTGGGGGCCACATGCCTCTCCCAAGGGTGCGTGCAGCAGGCGCAGCCATCCCCCCCTCCCTGTGCCCCCCAGACAAGGTGCCCATGGCTCCATCCCATATTCTGCCCCAGCCCCATTCCCTCCCTCACCATGGGGGCCTTAATCTGGCACCCCCATGCCTCTTCCCCACCAGACTTACTGGCCAGATGCTGGTCTCCAAGCTGCCAGGCTTCATATCAGCTATTGGATTGGTATCAGCCAATATGGCTGGCTAACAGTCTACCACTGGTGTCAGCCAAAAAAATTTTTATTGGTGCACCCCTAGCTCTAACAATTACACCAAGGCGTGGTAGGCAAGAATGGAAGGAAGGGTAGCTAGAACCCAAGTAAAGCAGTAGTCATTTGGCACCAGAGGGTGACTTGCCACAGCTGCTCCTGGAGCCCAGTCCTGCTATAGTCAACAGCAAGTACTAACAAAAGTACACTTTGCATCAGTATACAATATTACTGCCCCCCTTTAGTCACATAAAGAGAAAGGATTTCTTTAGGTAACATCCTTTTCAGGTCCCTTTTGCATTTGCAAGCTTGTCTAATTCTTTTCCATCTACACAGTTGGTCCATGGACCAACACGGCTACAACATCACTAGAACAATACCACAAAGAGCACTTTTCCATGTGCTTATGTGCTAAGTAAATAGTCTCAGTCTCTTCCATGGGACTCCTCACAAACTTTAACTCATGCATATTCTCATGTGCTTTGATAGAAAGGAATGCAAAGTTGCATAGCAAAGTCTGTTTATGGAGTTCCAATGTCTGTAATTCTCTCTTATGAACTCGGAAAATACTTTCCTTCTTAACTATTCTATCTTGTGCAGCTGGCCAGTGTACTTTCTTTCTTCCCTTCTATACTTTTAAATGAACAAGAATTTAACATTTGTTGTTTAAAACAAAGCATGCGGCCATGTGTGTTTATGAGCAAGCAGCCCTGATGATACTGCTAGACACAGATACATATTTTTAGAGTAATTCATTGCTTATTAAGGTATTGAGCATGTTCTCTTTCTAGTTCCTGCACTACAAGTCCAAATACTAAAATAGGGCACGACTAATTGCTTGTTATCTTGTTTTTTGCCTTTGGGTTGCCACAACAAAAATAATCTTAAACCTAATCTAGAGCTCTTTTCTAAATTACACGCAAGTCTGGAAATAGGAGGATCAAGTGTAGGCAACCTACTCAACACCAAAAAGAACCTGCTGGGAACATACAGCACATTAGTCACAAATTATTGCCTGTAATAAGAAACAGTTCACTATAGAATAAAAATAATAATAAATTTTGAAACTCTCCTTCTAGCACCAAGCTGCACAATGCTGACCATGTATAATGGTTCTGTGAGTATAACTGGAAGGATTATTCATCTGACAAACTGATAAATAATGAATGTACACATGCCAACCTAAGGCAAATAAAAAAAAGATCAGAATGTTGTCACCAGAGTGACAAGGTGTTTCTCAACACTTTTTAATAGTAGACTTGTTTGCTGTTCTTATATAAGCTACCTACAATATATGATTTTTGGAGTAAAAAAATAATGAAAGCTATTTTCCCATTGCTGTAGCCAGAGACGAAGCATAAAACATTATTTACACAGGTCAAACAAAAGAGTGGCTTTCATATTATTCTAGGGAAAAAGGACATAAAATCAGAACACAGCAAATTTAAGCTTACATCCTATGCCCAGTCTTGATTCTACCACTTTGCATGTATAATAAAAGAGCCTGACCTCAAAGAGAAGAAAATCTGACTTCATCCATAGAGATGTAAATCATACGTCAGGTCACCAAACCAAAAAAGACTAATACCAATATCAACGAGCAGTGAATCATTCCAAATCTTATCACATACCATTTCTCAAACAATGCTATACACTATCACTCCTTTTCCTTCCCCCTTAAAAACCTAGGTACACATTCGTAGAACTTTGATTTTTTTTTAAATTTATTAGTAACAGTGTTGTTCTAACTGTACACCTTTTCCCAAAATTTTCCAAGTTTCAAGAGAATGAAACCAGTCACACTCCTATTCAACCTGACCATAACCATAGAGGAAAACTAGCAGTGCAAGTTTCCCAAACCCTTCCAGCTAGCCCTTTCTTTCTGCAGGGGTACAGGTGCCATGATTTTGTACAAAGTACATGTGACAATATAACAACAATAAAAGAAAGCTAGGGACCACTGCATTTAATTGAAAGACCCCAAAGTACCTTGGTTACCCTTAAATCAGGCCTGTACCAAAGATGCACCGCAAATGAAGAAATGGTTGTACATAATGTCTGCTGTGCCTCATCGACTACCCCTATGTAAGATGTGCACTGAATGAGAACCGCTAATCCATATACCTTCACTGTGTGAAGAAATCCCCTCCCTCTGCCTCTCAATTAGGCCATTCCAGGGGCACCCCTCCCTGACTCAGCATTGGGAATGGTCTCTTCCTCCAGAAGGCATTTTGAAATCAACAAGCACATACCTCCAGGCTCCAGCTTGGATGATGCCCTGCAAGTAAAAACCTGGAAACTAGCCAGAAGTCTAGGAATAAATATAGGCAGATGCATTGTAAAAGGATTATTATGTCCAAGACTGATTACCTTTGCTCAATGGGTATTCTGGCCTCCTTGTTCTACATCCCCACTATCAATAAAGGTATCAGGTTACAGAGTGCCTGGCTGAATTCCTGGAGAGACGGGAAAGGCAGGCCTTTTTGCTCCCTTTGCTTGGCTAGTGAAATTGGGCTTGGCTTTTTATTTTCTTCCAGTATCTGATGCTACCTTTGGATGCTTTGGGCTAAAAGAAGCACCCTATAATATTACTGTGGGCAACGCACCCCCAAGGCTTGCAGGCTCTGTGTCCCCAGGCTGCACAAAGCTGTACCACAGACCAGTACCCGGGTGGTGGCAGCATTACCTCAGAGAGGCAGGTGTTCTCCAGGAAAGGGGATGGCCGGCTGTAGGCTCCCTGGGGGAGACTCCTGAAGTGTGGTTTTAGGCCTGGCACAGTGGGGTGGGTGGCTCTGCATAACAGCATCCCCTACTGGGCCACCACACACTAAATATTACTCACAGTGAAACCAGATCATGCATATATATTCGCACACCTGACCCAATCTTCCACAGCCATGTGCCTCTGCAAGTTTAGAGAAACTCACCTCACATAAGACCATACCCGCAAAGGGCAATTTTTCAATCAGTCACAATACTATGATCAACTACAGGCCAGCTTTATGGGAAGACTCAAAGGCAGTGTTTTCTAGTGAGGACTTCAGATGCTCCCCTCCCCATTCTGCCTCCAGCAGCCATTTTGGCATTGCAACTATTCTAAATGTATTGCAAGAACATTTATGTGATGGCAAAAGTGTTATTGCAGTGCTTCTCAATCTTTTTAAACTCAAGGCACCCCTCAGAAAATGCCAGCTCTTCACTTTCACTCTGTTTTTGATTATGGAAAAATAGAACAAGTCTTCTCTTGCAAACATGTTTCTGACACTGCAAGTTCCTACTTGAAATTCCTGGGTGTATCTGGTGAATCACATATAGGGCCATACTCAATGCTAATATTGTACTAAAAAAGATACTGCATCACCCTAGTTCAGGATTACAGGTGCATTATCATTATTACAAGTTTCTTTCTTCTTAAACATAGTTGAAATATTTTATCCAAAAACAAAGACTCTCTTTCAAGCAAAGACCATGCCTGAACAATTTGAGTGTGGAAAGTAACCTATTTTGGAAACCCAGATATACCAGAAAACAAGCTATTAAAATAAAAAAGTTTAGGCAACTATACCTGTTAGCTCCCACTCCTGGTGTAATTATGCAGTAGTCCATAATTTGGATGGCATGACCACAGATACCTACAGTCCAACGTATTTCCTTATCAGCAGTGATCTGGGTTTTCTGTTTGCCACAGAAAATTTTGGATTTTTAACAGAAAAAAGCAGGATCCTTGCTTATCAGATAACAATATAAGATAGAGGGCTTGATTTAAAAGTAGATGCATTAATGATTTTCAGGACTTAAACAGGGTGTAATAGGCCCAGGATTATTCTCCAAAATCCAGGACAGTCCCAGGAAAAACGGGACAGATGATCACCCTACCTCTGTTCCTTCTAGACAGTACACAAAGTACTGCCTACTACCTCTCAAGAACTGCAGCTTCTGGTCTGCTCTGGACAACATAAACCACTTTTCTACATGGCATATCCTCACTGTCACCTAAGCTGTGAATTACTTGCAGTAACAGTACATTCCGAAGTGCTGCTACTTGATAACCAACATGGCGGGGAGAAAATCTTCAAAATTCCAGCAAATAAACTCTGGTCTTACCTGCAGACTTCTCAGGCATAATTTCTTTGCGCTTTGTCTTTAATTTGTCTCTAACCCAAGGAAATTCCTGTAATGAATCCAGAAATACATCAAAGGCCTTGGGTCCTCTGGTAGGAAGGATATCAAGAAACAACATTGTTTGTCTCTGACTGGTGGTCTGGGACCTTATTTCTTGAACATGGTTTTCTGTTAGAATCCCTTCCTGATAAAGGTACTGAATGACAAGTCCTTCCATCAGCACCTCTGTGGAGAGCTCCAGCCGCAGGGAGCGCAGAAGCTGCTTGTCTCTGGCATCCATCCTGTCACAAGGTTGTGAGAAAAGAAACCAGAGATGTGAGATTGAAGTGTTTCAGACTTTAACATCAGGAAATTGTACATTATGTTTGGAAGCAAACCAAACTATAATAAGAGTGATCATGGTGGGATACACATCACCATTCAGCCGTGTTCTTTCTACCTACATTTCATGGGCATCATAAACTAAGATAATAGTGTTTTCATCAGCAGATATGACTGGAAGAGCCCTTCTGAATCAGTGTCTACAATCACAGACATGCACAACTTACAAATGTACCAAGTTTCATCTTAGAGTTAGTGTTTTTGCCCACACTACTCCCACAAGAAGCATAGGTGGCAGAAGAAAATATTATTTGGGGAGGCTGAGTGGCCTGCCCACCTGACCCCTGCCTCTCCCTCTCCCTCCTGTAGGACCACTGGGGGGCCAGTGCACTCTGGTACTGTACGTGGTGGCAGAAGAGTGCGCAGTGGGGGTGCTGGACATGGCACTGTGGTAGCAGGGCGTGGTGCTGCTGCTGTTGCTGACCGCTACAAAATTAGTTGGGGGGGGAGGAGGGCTAAGCCCCGTTAGCCCCAGCCTTCTGCCGCCTATGACTGGAAGGCTGTTCCAAAACATCACTGCCCTCATACTTAGAAACTTTTTTCTAAATTCAAACCTAAATGTATTAAGGCTAGATTATACCCGCTTGTTCTTGTCCTAGTATTGTCCTTTAATGTAAGTAATTCTTTTCCTATGTTGGTGTTTACTCATTGAACCTGTTTATCCCGAGTAATCTGAACCTATCCTACCTTCATTCCAGAGTCTAATGATCAAGGAGAAAAAGGAAGGAGTATTATCTCTGCTCTACAGAACAGGAACCAAGGCCCAGAAAGAAAAGGCAACTCACATCAAGGGTGTATTCCTTCCTGATAAAGATGCTGAACAGCAAACCCCTACACCAGCACCTCTGCATAAGTTACTGAAGGAGCTGGCAACTGAACCCAAGTCTCCAATCTAGTGCACTATCAAGTCCTTCCCCAGACATGTTAGTGGCAGTTGCAAAGGAAAATTCTGGTCTCACATTTAAATGCTCTCTCAAGCTCCAGAGCTGGAAAAGTCACATCACAGGCCAAGTAATTTCCACAAGTATGAGTGTATGGCAAGCATGATTAAATAGTTAATTACTGATAACCAGAAAAGGGGCCTGATAGTTTGATGATGCAGCATATTGACTGCAAGGGCTCTACCTCAGCACTAAGATAAAGGGAAATCAGATTTTTCCAGTCCCTTATAGGGGACATTTTAATGTGAATTTAGACCAAGCCTCTCAAAAGTGACCAATGACAGTTCCAGAAAACCACAAAAGAAACCCCTAAGGAGCCTGACTTAGATAGCAGAAACTTTAAGATCAGGTCCCTCTCTAAGGCATCACAAGTTGGACCCCCTAAACTATCAGCCTTCTTAATTCTAATTATAAAGCCACAGATTTGGAACCTGACATTTCTCCTTCTTAATTACATACATGTTTGACCCAGAGAATTGGATGGGATTAAATCTTAGGTGCTAAGGCTGCACTCCAGGAAGTTTCTTAGCACAGAGGTATTCCTTAAAGTGACTCACAGGCCTGGGGCTTCTATGCATCACTTGAGATATTAGAGTTTCTCTAAAAGTTTTCAGGCTAGGAAGAGCTCTCAGGGACTAGATTCTGGTTTGGAGACATGGAGCTAAACTGCAGACCTGGGATCCTGATAAGGCTCTGACGCAAACTCAACCTGGAAGCAGGGTTTACAGGGCCACAGCTAAAAGCAAGGAAGCTGCTCCCCCTTTCACCCCTCTTACCTCTCCTTTGCTGGCATGAAGAGCACTCCCTCACTACCCCAGCTACTGCCATGAGAATTCACCCTCTTTTTTTCAGTCTATTTTTATTGATAAAAGTAGCTTACCCCCATCCTGGAAAACAGCTTTCCCCTCAAGTAAGAAGGCCAAAATCAAAAGTTCCTCCAAGTTCTCTGAAATATGTTATTTTTTTCAGTTTCAGGGACAGAATCAAAGACTAGTCTTCCCAAGCACGGCTGCACATGCCCACGACCTGCACGTACATCCAGCTGCACGAGCCCGGGGCTGCGTGCCTCCACCGAAACGTGCCCCGGTGCTTCAGTAAAACCTGGCTCTCGGCACAAACACCCACGTGGGCACAAACACGCCGGCACCTCCTGGGGCTCAGTGGTGTCGCGGTTTTGTGGGCAAGCTGCCAGGGGGGCTCCTAGAAATCCTTCCCTGAAAGGTGCCAGGGCGAGGCTGGGCAAACACGATGGACAGGCAGCACCAGGGAGTGGTGCCCTGTCCTGGCGGAGGGCAGGGGCTGGTCTGCCCCCAGCTTCTTGAGGAGAGTGGGCCCCTCAGCCACAGAGCAGCAGCCTGACAGCCCCGAGGGGCAGGGGCAGTTGGGCACTGCCAAGCCCCCTCGCCCAGGAGGCGGGGATTGGCCGCTGGCAGGTGTCACTAACCCCGACCCCACACGCCGAGAGGGAGGGAGGCAGCCACCCGCCTCCTTCCTCGCCCAGGGTGAAGGTCCCTGGCAAGGAGCGGGACCCGCAGCCCATAGCCGCGCTGCCATGTACTTACGCTCGGGCGCTACACACTGCGCACGGGCCCAGGCCCAGCCCCAGCCCGCACCGGAACCGCCATCGTTGTTGAAGGCAGCCGGGAAACACCGCGGCCCCGCCAGGGGTGGGAGGGCAAGCACGGCGGCCATGTTTGCTGAGGGCACCGGCCTCCAAATGGAAGCGGTGGTGGCCATTTTGGTAGCGGGCAGCGGCCCTCTTGGTCGCGGGCAGAACTTTTGTGCCTTAAACCCCGCCAGCGGAGCAGGTGCGTTGGAAGGGGCTGAATGCTGCTTGCGCAGGGGCGTGGCGTTGTGCTACGTCATTGGCGTAGGGGTACAGGGGCGGCTGCCGGGACTGGCAGAGAGGAAGCGGCAGCCGCAGCTTGCGCGGGTCCCAGACGTGCTTCGCCTGCCCTGGCTGCGGCTCGCATACCACCGCCCTGGATATAAAGCAATTACATTAAACATTTAAATTAAAATAAATTAAATTAAACGTTTTAGTTAGTAAACAGACACAAGTATGTAGCAGCCTTACCCTTGTCGGATGGGGCCACCAGTGGCCCGGGCAGCCCGTGTGTGTGTGGTGGGCGGCAGGTCCGGGGGGCACAGGCAGCAGGGTGGTAGAGGGCAGAGGAAGGGGTGGGGAAGGCACTCGGGGAGGCTGGCTTGTGGCAGGCTCGCCAAAGAGGTTGGCAAGGTGGCACTGGGCTTAAGGTATCATTACTGGTAGCAGAGGACCAGGAGCTGAGAGACCAATGCACATGCTTTACTTCGGTGGCAGCGAGTAGCCCCACGAAGGATGGTGGTGGGACTATGTGGTGCTTACAGTGCAATGCACACATGAAAATTTCTGGAGAGGACTGTCCATCCTGCCCTTGCGGGTAGCTTCCAGACTGACAGGCAGAGCTCAGGGCCTGGTTCCACCTTAGTTTTGGGCAGCTCCTTGGGGCTCTGAACCCTGGTTGTCTGCACATTAACAGCTCTAAATGGCTTAAAGCAGCATTTCTCAATCAGTGTGTCACAACCCAAAAGTGGGTCGCAAGAATATTTGAAAGGGTCATGAGGAAGTTCCAGAAAAACCCTGTGAAACTGCGGGTTTTCTCTTGCAGGCTGGCAGCATTCCAGCCTGCAAGCGCTGCTTGGGACGATTGGAGGCAGTGGGAACACATGCATCTGTGCAGGCAGGCACACGTGGCCAGCATACAGCAAGGACTGGTTGTAGGAGCAGTCCGAGCCGCTGGATGCAGGCAAGCGTATGGGGAGCGGGGGTTGGAGGTCCAGGGGACTGTCCGGAGTGCTGGGGCGGGTGTGGGTATGTGGGTGGCTGCTGGGGACGGTGGCTGGGTGTGGGGCTGCAGCAGAACAGGGGGAGCATCCAAGAGAAGGCCCTGGCCCTACAGCAGGGGAAGGAGGCAGGGGCAGTTCTTTGCAGTGAGGAACTACATGTCTGGGTGGGAGGCACGGGGCCAGTGCCCATACACACAGGGGCCCATACTCACTGCTCATGCTCCAGCCCAAGCAGGATGGGGGCAGCCAGGGCCTCCCTCCAGCAGGGTTGGGGTGGGGCAGGGGACTGTGGATCAGGAGTGAGGTGCACCAGCATGGCCGGGGGAGGGGACTGTGGCTTGGGGGTAAGGGGTGCCGAAAAGGATCTTTGGTAGGGGTGCACCGATAGAGATTTTTTTGGACAAGTACCAATGGCCGACTTTTAAGGAGCTACATCGGCTGGTGCCAATCCGATTCTGATATGCAGCTGGGCAGCTTGGAAACCAGCATTACGCTGGTAAGTCTGATGTGGGGGGAGGGATGGGGTGTGGTGGGGGCCCCTGTGGTGAGAGAAGGAGTTGGGCAGACACTGCTCAGCCAGGGTGGGGTGGGACAGGGGAGTGGGACGGTAGGGGAGCATCTCCCACTGCTGCATGCACCCCAGGCAGGAATGGGGGGCACATGCCCCCAGATTTGCATGCAGAGCGAGGTTGAGCTGCTGCTGTGGGCTGGGGCTGCACCGGATTCTTCCCAGCGGGGGTTGGGTCAGGCTGTGCTTGGGGCGGGTGGCGGCAGTGCAGGAAGGGGGGCTGGGGGCAGGCTGCAGCCACCCCAAAATTCATTGTAGCCCCCTCCCCGTAGCTCCCTCCTCCCTGCACCGCCTCTGCCTGCCCTGAGTGCTGCCCCAGCCCAACACCGCCACCAGGAACAGCCCAGCACAGCCCCAGCTTGCAGCGACAGTCTGCCCTTGCCCCATGTGCAGATTCAGGGGCACACACCCACCATGCCCTCCGAGGGTGTGTGCAGGGGAAGAGCAATCACCCCCCCCTCACACACCCCTGAGTGAGCTGCTCACTGCTCCATGCTGCGCCCCACCCTGTCTGCCCCTGCCCCACTCCTTCCCTCCCTCACTGTGGGGGCCTTGATCTGCATACCCACACCCCTTCCCTTCCCCCGACAACCATTGGCGATGCATAGGAGGTGCATGCGGATGCATGTGCACCTCCTGAGTGTAATGGTGCACCCCCTATGAAAAGGCGCTGCCAACACTGTCAGCAGCGCCTGCAGGTAGTTGCCACTTGCCGCCACCCCCCCACTGCTGACACCACAGGTGGTGTCTGCAGGCTGTCAGCGGTCGCTGCTGGCTGCTGCCGATGGTGTCTGCGGGTGGCTGCCGCCCCGTGGTCAGTGCTTGCCACCCCCCACACCTCCCACCACTGACAGTGCTCGTGGCATCTTTGGGAGCTCCCTGCTTATCACCACTGCAGTCCCACTGCCACCAGCACCGCTGTGCCCCTGCAGCTGCCAAGGGGCACCCATCGTTCATGCCCACAACAGACTTAACAGCCCGATGTTGGTCTCCAAGCTGCTGGGCTGTGCTCCTGGCCACATGCATGCTGTGGCTGTGCGAATGCACAGGGCATTGACTGGCCATATTATTAGCCACATCAGGCAAAAAAAGCTGATTTCCAATACTGTCAATTTTGTCTATATCAGTGCTGATCCAATATGGGACCGATGTATCGGTGCACCTCTAGCCTTTGGGTCAGGCACCAGCAGGGATGGGAGGGTGTGGGTCAGGATAAGCTATCGATCTTGGCAAATGTGTCCGGGAACAAAAAAGGTTGACAACCACTGGCTTAAAGCATGCATTATGTGGCTCAAAGTTGCACCACTCCAGGGCAGGATTATCTCTTGATCCGCATAACCCAGCTTCTATTCCATTAAGGTGTGGCTGCTCCCCACAGATGTGCTGCCTAAATTGAAGGTGTGACTGCAAGTTAGCACTAAGCTGATCAACATTTGTGCAGCTCACAGTGTAATGTGTTGCAAGGGCCTCCTTGTTCAAAAGTTACCTTAGTAATATTGCTGTCTTCACAAACTGCTATCTTCACTATGGACACACACATCTCTAGGTGGCAAAGGTTTGCATGATGGATGTTTTTACACATCTGTTTTTCTAGGCGTGAGAAGGTTTAGCAATCTTATCTGAATAAAAATGCCAAGGATGCCATTATTATTCTTTTAAATAGTTTTAATGAATGATCATAATGTCAATATAACTTGTTTCTCAAGTACTGTAATGGGTGGAGTGGAAATTGTTTGGCACTTGAAAATGTTTCTATATGCTGGAGAATTATTTGTATATATTTTAAACCTGTGTCTATTCTTTTTAAATGTTGTGTGTATTAACCCCATCTGTTCTATTTTCTGGCTTTTCTTATAACACAACACCTTAATTTTTTGTAACGTGTGGTGTCAGGTTCCTCCTGATGTTATGGCTCTGATTCTGCAGACATCAATAGGAGTTAGGCAGCTACATACCTGCTCCATAATCCATGCCTTCAGTCTGTTGCCTTTTCACAGCAGCAGTCTGGTCCTGAGATATAGCAAACTATGGCAGCACAGCGAGGAGCTACAATAGATTTTCACCAGCAATCAAATCTTTATCTCCTTCCAGCTGCTGCCACTGCTGCTGGCCCTAGCTCCGTGGTACCAGTGGGAACCCATGCGCTCAGCCCCAACCCCAGCCAAATTTTTTTGCAGACCTCCCCACCCAGAGTCAAAGTGTAATTCAAACCCTGCTGATATGCAGTTGGTTGTGGTAGAACTTTTATACTCCTGCCCATGGCCAACAGTGACATAGATATCTATACAAATAGATAATCGACTCCAATGAGGACAAAATTCCATATATTTGCATATCTCCTTTTCTTTGATTCTGCTACTGCTGAAATCAATGAACTTTTTCTCAGGCCCAGCAGTCTGCCTGTGAAGACCCAGGTACTGGATCAAGGCCATGGGGTCCAATTCAGAGTTGTTCTTCAGTTACACAAAACCAAAATGGTTGAAAACAGAGTAAGCAATTTCCCACTATTTCAGCTGTCCTTCCCCTTCCTTCAATAACACTGTAAAATTGATTTAGCTAGTATCCACTATTTCTAGATCTTCCTTCTGCCTTTCCTATTGATATCAAAGTGACTTCTCTAATGTGAAATATAAATGCCAGATATAACTACAAAATCTTCCTAGGAGAAATGTCTCTTTCCTTCTATCTCAGAATTCTGCTCACAGACTAGCGGATACTAATTATATTAAGTTAAATTAATGAGAATAACCAATCTTTAAAGACATTCACAAAAGAGAAAATGTCTCACTCTTGAGAAACATTTTTTCTTCAAGTATCTATCACTTTACCTGTTAGTACAACATTTCATTAAAGAATGTTCCCCCAAGTGAAAACTGTTACACAACTTTTTGGACTCTATCAAAAAATATTCTAAAGGCCCTATTTTAAGCTCTCCATTTGCCCTGTCTTCTTCTATTAACTTGTTAGAACCACTCACAACAAAAATTTCTGTTCAGTTTCCATACCATGGGAACACGTTCCAAGTCTGAGCTAATTATGCTAGGGAGCCAATATATGTGAAAAGAATTTTTACTTAAATTGACCTTGAAACTTGAACATACCTTCACTTGTAAAACCCTCCTTTGGAAGCAAATAACAATGCAGTGTGTAGCCTGAATTGTCTATGTAATATATGGAAAATATCTGTTAAGTAGAAATCGCCCCTAGGATTCCTTCCACAGAGGATACAAAACTTTAATAAATCTAGTTTCTTAATAGCACATGGGGCAAGTTTTCAAAATGCCCTGCAAATTGATTGTTTCTTAATTAAAGGGTGCATGTTATTTCTCATCTTATGTCCTCTTGATGTCCTATTTACTATTTGTTTGTGCTGAAGCTCTGATGGTGTAAAACCAAAATGCGAATATATATAATGCTTATATAAGTGCTAATAACTAACAGAACCCCTGGTACAATTAGTGTTTATTTCACTATTTCCCTTATGTAAACAGATTATTCTTTCTGTGTGCTTTTCTATGCACTGGGCTCAGTAGTAGGGCTGTGCAAAGCTTTGGTCCCTGATTCGATTTGGCGGAGATTCAGTCCAATTCAGTGGCCTAATCTCCAAATCCGAATCGAATCAGAGGACTCTTTAATCTCTCTGAATAGAATCAGAACCCTCCAAATTGATTAAGAGATTCGGAAAGGTTCAGCGATTCAGACAGACACAGCTTTCAATGTTTTTTTTACATACCTCTAGGTAGCAGGCAGCTCATGAACACTGTGATGCTGGGGCACATGCAGTGTCCCACAGAAGCACAGGAGGGTCCCCAGTGTGCTTGGCAGCAGATCTGGAAGTGGACCAGAAGCACTTCTGGGTCCGTCGGGGAGCGTGCAGTGGGGGGCCCCCACGCCTCAGAAACTCATGCCTCCTGGGCCTGGGTGGGCACCCGGGGTCTCCCTGCGGCTGATCACTGAGCTGGGGAGAGCCCCCAGCATGTTCCCCAGCAGACCCAGAAGTGGACCAGAAGTATTTCTAGTCCACTTCTGGGTTCGCTGCCAAGCACATAGAGGGCTTGTGGGATGCTCCATGCTACCTCAAGAAATGTAGAAACAACTTTTTAAAGTTGTGTCTGTGTCTGTGTCCAAATTGTTGATTCTCCAAATCAGCATCAAATCATCAGATTTGGATTCGGACAAATCGAATCAGGGACAGTGATCTGAATCAACGAATCAAATCACTGTCCCTGATTCGGCCCGAATCCGAATCGAATAAGGCCTGCTTCGCACACCCCTACTCAGTAGGTTATTTGTACTATCCATGAATGTATCATTTGTATACTATTGCTCCAATGCTGTTTGGGCCTGAAGCTGTAAGAGCTCCCTTACAAGAAGTAAAGCCTTCCTCCACTCAAGGAGGTTGATGGGTATTGATGGTGCTCAGAAATACACAGGGTCATCCCCTTACCTACACATAGGTTCTTTTTCTGTTGCTAATGAGATTTTATAAACAAATAACCAAACCAAACCTTAACTCAAATGGATATTACTCTTCCGTTATTTTCTTCCAAAACCACTGAAGTTTTAATAACAGAAATATTTGAACACATTACTCATTAGAATAGTGACTTCTGCAAGTGTATGTTACCTCATCCAGATGCTGGTGTCTTCCTGTACTACATATACAGCTATACCAAATTAAGTATTACATATATTTAGCTTCTTTGCACTCAACTAAACAATTTCATCAAACTTAAAATGAAGCTACGTTTACATAGAAGAGCAACGTTGGTAAAACAAAATCCACTCCTATAACAAATATTTTGGTATCTTGACACTGCATTTGCTATACCACACATACCATATGCAAAACAGTACCCTCTAATAATTATTAATAGCTTATCAAATATGAACACATTTCTTTCAGCATCAGTTGTTTATTTCCAGATATCTGAAAATATAATAAATGACAGAAACTTATGATACACAGATTCAGTAGTGTGACTTAATGTTATTTCCTATCACATATTATTATGACACTATTTTCTTTTGAGTGAGTGTTGGTGTCAGATACCACATGTGCTGCAGGGACGTAATCTGTTTGCTTTTTCTAACCTAATTTACTTTTTAAGGTCAAATGTAGCACATACTGTATCTGGGGACCATGAATGGGAGAAAAGAGCTGCTGTGTTGTCAGAATGTCTTGACTTGATGGAGACGTAGGCAGTCACAGCAAGCCTACTGCCATCTGGTCTGAGTGCTTGTGATTCTCCTTCAGAAAACAAAAATGGTAATTGTTACTGATGCTTTTGGAAATTTTGCCACTTAAGAAATCTGATTTGTACACAGAGTCTAAATTTCTCATACACAAGTATACTTGAAGTTGTTTATAGAAACTTTCCTCTCATATTTGCTAGGGACCTAACCCAGGGAACATCTGTCACATGGCTAAGAATATACAAAGCAAAGAAATATTTTTTAAAGCTAGTACAATACATATGCTGTACATATGGCTACATTCAATATTTTGCAGTATGAAGACATGTCTGACCAAAAGATCTATTTTCCTTCCATTTCTGAGTGCTTAATAGCTTACAGCAAAGTTAATGCAACAACATAAGCTACTATCTAAAAGACAAGGTTTGAAGTATACTGAATTTGAGAAGTGTTTAAAGAAATGATACACATTTTATTATTTAGACAACTTCTTTAGGGATGCTATATATTAGGCAAGTATTAAAGAATGTCTTAGCTTAATCCTCTCATGCATAAATAACATGTACATATTTTAGGATTATTTCCAGAGAAATTACTTGATATGTAAGGCATTTAAGTTACTGATAAATATCTCCTTAGTTCAGTACTTCCACTGAACACCAGTGAATAATTTTACCTCACGTGCACATACAAGAACATAGAGATCAAGTTTAAAAATCATTAATTCATGATTCAAGATATCATGTTGGAATATAAGATTTATATATTACCTAAATGAAAGATGCAAGAAAACCACAAAATGGACAAGTTCTTCTTTCCTGTGCACCAATAACTGTAATCCTGGCATATAAGCAGAATATAGTAATTGGTACCAAAGTACACTGGGCACGTCTACATGTGCATATGAAATGTGACAGAATAAACTCCGGCCTTTATCACACCGGAGTTTATTGCTCTCAGGCATGCTGTTTGAATGTGCACCTGGAACTGCAGCATGTTGAGCCAGGTTGGAACAGCCTCAACTGGCAGAGGGTCCAGGGGGTCAGCCTGCTGGGCTAGGGCTGTTCTGACCCGGCTCAACGTGCTGCAGAGGGGCTGAATGGGGCACGAGAGTGCTCCAGTGTGGGACTAGGTGGCAGCCAGCCTCTGCACTGAAGTACTCTTGAGCTCCAGCCAGCCAGATCAGAATTTATACATGTGCTGCTGCTGAGTAAAAAAACTCCACAGCAGAATAGTACTTGTATCCTGCCACGGAGTTTATTAGTTTACTCCAGCCTTATAGCCCTGCACATGTAGACACCGAGACATTTACTGCAGAGCTACTCCACAGTAAACATGCCCACAGAGGTGTTTTTCAAGCTTTCAGACCCTGTGGACAGTTTGTAGGGCTAGAAGTATGGAAATACAATACTTGCAAACAGAGTGAAGTTGACATGGAATCACAAAGAGACATTAAACAGGGAACTCAGTGATCCGTTTATACTGTTACTTTTCAGGGCTGAAGCACATGATCTATGAAAGCCTCCCTTCACAATTTCCTACTTCTCTGGTTGCTGCTTTTTTCTCTCAGACAGATATAGACCTAAGAAATCATGTTATTATCTAGAATAAGGGTGACCAAACACTGATACCTTCCATGCCACATCACCATGTGCCTGATAGCTATATTTAATCTGCTTGTGATGATGCCAATTTTTATTATTTCTTTTATACTACCTCAGGAACTTCACTGAAGACCCAGAATGCATGATGTAAAATCCTGCCTCCACTGAAGTCAATGGCAATTCTCATTGGTTTCAAAAGAGCCATGAAGTCTCTGTCTCTAAATGTTTACAATCTAAAGGCAGACAGATGCAAGAAATGAGAGTTACAAACAAGTAGAGGGGGTGAGGAAGGATGAGAATAACTGATCATGTAGTTATTTTAGAAGCACAGGTTGGAGTTTTGTTTTCACACAAAACATGAACTAGAAATAGTAAAGGCTTTCTGGCTGAGTTCATCAGCTGTACTAAAAACACTGTTTAATTTGCAGTTACAGGGAAAAGATGCCCCTAAGGCAAACCCTGAGGACTCTGCATAACTTATTTGGCTAAACATTTAGACTAAGGATAGCCAGCCAAAACCTGTACGAACCAAACTCACCATCATCCTACTCTGACAACACCATTAATTTTTTGAATCCAAGTTATTAAATATCAGAATACTGTATTTTTAAAGTGACTTTTTAAAGCATATTAAAAACTTAGAACCCCTCCCCCAAAACATAGGCAGATGTTACATTAGTATTTACATATTTTCCTTGTTTTCTACATGCTGAATGATTCGTTTCTTTTGATAACAAGAGCCAAAATGTGTTTTTAAAGCTGGTGCAACCAGATTTAGTCTATTAGGACTATGCTTTGTTTTCAGTTGGCTGTAGAACAGCATTCCACTTCAAGGGAAAAAAGTGAAATTTGAGCCTCTACATTTTGTTTATTAGAAATGCATCTAATTTGTTAAATCTATCATAAAACCTCTAAGACTAATATGGGAAAAGAAAGATACAGCAGAAAATCATCAGTCAAGTTGATATTAATAGAATGAATTCACAGGAAACATCTCAGAACATTGTGTGTCTAGAAAACTAAGTTAAAAGTAGTTAAAGACATGCATTTAATTTGAATGATAAAGACTTTAGTTTTGAAAACTAAGAAAGCCCAGCTAAACCAGAGAATGATAGATATAAAATGTCAATGATGCTTTTCAGAATTTTTTTGGAAATTCCCTCCCCTTATAATATTTTGTCAATGAGAGTTCAGAATCTTAGTGCTGAAATACATGGGTTTATGTATATAAAGTTTGAAATGCTCATATGATTATTTTCAATAACAAAAGTAACTGTTTCATTGATGGTATTGGACAGAATTTTGTTCTCAGTTCTGTTTACATTGGTATATATAATCTCTGGCCAAATATATAAAGCAGCACCAATTTAGCAATATATATATAACAAATGTGAATAAAGCATAAGCTTTTCAGGAAGAAAATCACTGGAAAATAAAGCAATTAATATTTGCAATGGTTATTTGCAAAGTATAATAGATATTTCTCACACAAGCCATTTTCATTTCAATTTTAAAAATATATTTATTACAAGTATTTGTAACTTTTATGATGTTAATAGTCTTTATTTATGCAGTTCATCTAGATGCTGATTTTTAAAGGTTCTTTTGGTGCTTGGATGAGAATTGGAAACTTCTTAAAGTTTAATATGTCAGGCTTATTAACACATTTTAAATGGAACTCACATTTTAGTAATATGGGAATTAGACGCATGAAATCAGATTCTAAATTATACACCAACATTATAAATCTAACTTTGAACAATAAGGCTAATAAAATTAGGAGACAGGGCTGAAGTTTTATCTCAAAACTAACTTTTTTTCCTACAGATTACAGTATATGAAACATGGAATTAGTTGTGTAGAATGCTACATATGGATTTAAAGGAAGAAAAGAGTACCTTATTCTGGTAATATTTTGTTTCTTTTTGCAATCTTGAAATGATCAAATACAGCATATCTGAAATGGTCTATAGAGCACATTTTAAAACAAACTTTCAGGGTAAATCTTAAGTTATTAGTGATAGCTCAGAGAAAGTTTTGCAAAGTATCCTTTAAAGAGTTTTGTCACTTTCCAGATTTCCCAAGCTCCATTTAAAATAAAAAAACCCTCCTTTTATTAAAAGTTCATCAACGTGTTGTAAAAGACAGACAATTACAACTTTGACAAAAGAAGCAGGTTAAAACAATGGCATTAAGTTCTAGAAAGCAATGAGATTTTGCAATCAGTTTTCCATATAGGTAACATGCATTTATAATACTTCAATTAATTTCTGCACACAGAAGGGATGTTGCTATTTTTGTGTAATCTAGCCACAAATGGTTTTAGGTTTCTTATTTTTTTCCTCCATATCAAAGTACAACCATTTAAAAGATGATACCACCAGTGTAGCTTAAATATATGTCAGATGTTCATCAAAATATAGATTATTTTAAACATTTTTATGTTAATAATGTAATAAAATTTAAGTTCACTACACATAAGAACATATAGATTATCTCTAGCATATTATAAATTCTGTATAACAGTGCTTTTCCTGTAAGAAAATGAATCAACAAGGAGTTCAATAAGCACAACAAAAATGACCACATAATTCTTGATCTGTGACTTATTCCTTATTAAAATTGATATTTTAATTTTGTTCATCCTTACCGGACAACTTTCTTTCTTCTGTCTCGCTATAGTATTAACCATACCTACTGTCTTGCAATTAGATCTGTACAAATAGAAGGTTTATGTGTTATATATTGTGGGGTATATGAGCAGAATTGTTTTGGAAGAGATTCAGGTAGATCAGAAAATATTCAACTATGACTGATACACAACGGGTAATGGTACCGAAAAGCAAATATCTAAAATGGGATAAACAGGGACCCGGTACAAAGAGAGGCTCTCATTAACTTCAGTGAAGCTCTGCATGGGTGCAGATTCTGCCACAACAATTTGAGTGCAGGACTGGGACATAAATATGTAACATAAATTTTAAAATATATGATAAAATAAAAAGCAATCCTATAACCTTCCAACATCAATCAATACATCATACCACAGTTTCTTGGGTCAAGTTTATACGTCCCAATCCAAAGCATACCAAGGTAAATAAAGTCTTTTTCTATTAGCTACAGTGAGCTTTGGACCAACCTTTTGGGCTGGGATCAAGTGTATTTTAGGTATTTACTTATCTAGTAACCTACTGGATACAGAATGTAAATATCTACTATACAGCCTTTAAAGCCAATTTAACTTGAAACAAAATAATTCACTGACATAAACCATCTGAAATGAATGAAAGAAAAATTAAGGCAAGCAAATTTAATTTTATTTCTTATTTCAACCGTCAGTCAAGATGGAATATGTCCTATAAAATATCCATCTGAATATTTCCTCACAGAATCTCTGCTTTTGTCTCATCCCAAAATAAGTTGCCTTTGTTCTCGCATTTTTTTCTTATTCTCACAGAGCACTGTTGGATGTTGTCTTGGAATTTTTTTGAAGATTGACAAGAGGCTTCCCACTGTTTTTCCCAGTTCCAGAAAAAAGCAGATCCTGTCCTTTTTAGGCAGTTTCTTTTAGTTTCTGACTGCAACAAGGACCTGCAGTTTATCACTGAAGTCAAAGACCATAAATTTGATAGTTTTCTTCTGTTCCTCTGTTGAATTACTCCTAGTAAATTGATTTTAATATCTTATATATTTGTTGATAAATGAATACAATTAAGTCTTCGCACTCTGGCACCACTTGGCTCCCAACAGACGCATGTTTTTGCCACATGTTAGTTTTCCCTAAGAGTCAACGTTTTACACAAAGACTTCCTTGTTAAAATTAATAAAAATTGTGCACACAATTTATTGATTCCTCCCCCACACAATCTCTAAATACCTAATATAGGGCGCATCTACACAAAACATTTACTGCAGAAGTGCCTAATTAGCTCTGCAGTAAATGTCTTGGCATCTGCACATGTGGTCCTATTACAGAGTAGGAAACTAATACATTCTGTAGCAAGTTAGTACTTGTAAATACAAGTACTGTCCAGCTGAGGACTTTCTTTGTGCACAGCCACACCTGTGTAGACACTGACCCAGCTGGCTGGGGCATGAAGGTATTTCAAGTGTGGGGGCTGCCTGCTGGCTAGCCTCACATTGGAGCTTCAGTCAGCCCCTCCACAGCTCATTGAGCCAAGTCAGAGCAGCCCCAGACTGACAGGCTGATCCCCCACCCCCCTCCATCCCGAACCC